GACGATCCGAATAAAAGAAAATTTAATACAAAATTATTGCTACTAATTAAATACGTTATTGCTTGCTAGAACTAGAGTAGTTACGACTCTTTGTTCTGAGATTCACAGCGAATCATAGCGATTTCCGTTTTCTTCTTCCCCGCATTCTTCTGCATTTCAGCTTTACCGGAATGCTTTATTGCAGAACAGCGTATCGCCTGTCAGTCGCTCACAAATCGCGTGGCGTACGGACATTTTTGACCGCTTTTTCTGGAATAAGCTATTGCAGAAAAATGGAAAAGAAGAACAGCACGAATAACAAGGTGGCCCATGATTCGTCGCCCGGTTTCCCCCTCGAACTGAGCGTCGACTCACAGGCCTTCTTGTTATTCGTGCTGTTCTTCTTGCCCATTTCTCTGAAATAGCTGATCGCCCAACCGTAGTTACGCCTCTTTCTCCGGAGATTCACGACGCCCTTGACGGCGCCCGTGTGCGTTGACGTCGTATGTCTCAGCTGACTGAGACCAGGCAGGTGTTGGGTGAGTGGTGACTCGGGTGGCTCGCCCTCGCCCTGGACAACCGCTACGCTACACCTAGCAGTAGGGGGTGCGCGTCGTTGGAGTCGAGGCCTCGATGGCCTCTGCGTGGCGTTACGGCGTGCACGAGGACGGCAGCGGCGTCTACTAGTGCTGACAGAAAAGTTATGCAAAAAAGCGCCCAATACACGTGTGTGCTGTGGGTGGCATCTACGCCTGCCTACCAGGCAAACCACATGCGCGCCTGTGCAGATGTTGCCTAGTAGGCAGGCGGAGGTACGAGCCCGTTGCGCACAGGTGCATTGGGCGCTTTTTTGCATACCTTTCTGGCAACACTGGCGTCTACAGGACCCTGGGCCACGTTCCGTCCAGGCTTGGGGGAGTGTTGAGTGGGACTAGGTCGACTAGGTGCGCCTCGATGGGGCGTGGCCTAGCGCACAGTAGTGATTGTTGGCCGGGGGAGAGTTAGGACGATCAAATAGCGTGACGCTCCCTCCCGCGCGCGCCAAAGCACTAATATTGCAGAATTCGTCCGGTAGACCCGATAAGATCGTCTTGAAATAGTAATACTAGAAACAGCCGTAGAATAGGAACATTACAATTTTCAACTGTTGCAAAATATTTTGGTGCGCGCCACCATTTTCAGAAGTTTTAGTTACATGAGTGCAAACAGGGTACAATGTTTTCTTGCAGGACTTGGCCGCTGACTCTGCCGACGTCCCCGACAACATCTCCTTGGTCCGACTGATAGAGGACAACGGCTCGCCACCCCGTAAGAAGCACAGGGCAGATGATACCGAGGTCCAGCAGCTGCAGCGAGGCGTGTGCGCGGGCAGGAGGGTCGTGGAGATGCTGCGGCAGGTGGTCCCCAAGCTCGTGGAGAGCCTGAACCGTCAACTAGAGTCGTCGGTTGCCCAGCTCCACCAACTAGAGGAGGCCTTAGAGAAGCAGGTGCAACGGAAAGCGGCCGGCGATGAAGACACCGCAAAGGAGCTCGCGGTGGACCAGCTGCAGCTGGCCTTGGAGATGGAGGTCAGTCTCCATCTACTCACCACCAGCAGGTGCAGCGTCGTTGCCGAGGAGGGTGGGTCCACCTGGAAGGCATGTGTGCAACTTGGTGGATTTTGCGACATTTTGCGTCTTCTATTGCTGCAGCTACGCGCCGATGGTCATTTAGAAAAGGTAAGCAGTCTATCAGGCAGCTAGACATACGGCTTGCTAGGTCTTCTCGACTCTGCTCCTCGATTTTATTTTTACTCTCTTTTTCCTTCCAGGATGACAACATTGCTGTTTCTACCCCACCCGCGGCATATGTGGGACCGCCCATGCAGTTAGCACTCTCGATAACTAAGGAAGATCTTGACGATGGTCAGTTGAAGGTGACTGACGTCCTTCGAAACGCCCGGCGATGGAGAAATGTGCGAATCTTAAGAAACCTACGTGGTAGTGGTTCAGACAAGCTGCTGCGCGTCCTATCACCGCAACTTGAGGAGGTAGAAATCTCGGGTGAGGGAGAGTTAACGATCATGGAGGAGGTGGAGAAAATGCCGTCGCTCAAAAGACTCAAAGTCGCATGTAGGAAAGACTTGAAAGACAACTTCCCCGAACTGCCGTTGCAGCTAAAGGAGCTCTGGATTCGCTTCCCAAAGGAGAATCAAGTGCGATCTTTGGAGCGCATGCCCAGGCTGCGCAGCTTGCGGCTATACGACTACTACGGCCCGAATGTGACCTTCCTCCCTTCGCAGTACGGTCGGTTGCTGTGGCTGGGCGTGGGCCTTAACATCGGCCACAAGGCCACAATGCTGTCCCTCATCCGCGCCCACGCCTCCACACTTCAAGAGCTTCAGATATTCAGTGCCATCAGTAACGAAGGCGACATGCGGCTGTTCTACTTCCCGGATCTGGGCCAGGACCTGGCGGCGAGCGGCCTGCACGCCCTCCGGCGCCTCGTCCTCCAGCGTTCTACGTTTTCAAAGCCGTGCCCGGAGGCCGACGCGTGCTTGATGCAGCTACGGACTCTTCGGGGCTTCCTGCCCTCTTCTGTAGATGTGGTTTGCGAGGCGTGTCACGGTCACATATCTTCGCACTAGGTTAAGGCCTGGTATTACTATCAGAGTACCAACGTTGTTCAATGTTCTATGTTTACGAGTAGACAAAGTATTGGTTAAAATTTTGTTTATAGCGGACAGCTTGTCAAAGTTTTAAAATGAAAATTATTTAAATAAAAATTGTTGCTGTAAGTCGGTGTGTGTGGTCTGCAGGTCCTGCGCCGCCGGCTTGTCCTGTTACATACTGGAGCTAGCTATATTTTCTTTTCCTTTTGGCTCGTGGGACGAGAATACTCGTCCAGGGGGTAAAGACCGTAAAGACGCACCAGGCAGAGACCAGGTCGAGGCGCTACACCGGCAAAAAGACGCGTTTGGAAAAGCCTTTCACCCCCCCCCCTTTCCCCCAATTTCATAAAACCGCGCCTGATCGCGTCTCGTCCGTCTCGTGGACTAAGCCTTTTGCCACCCCCTGATCAAGGCAAAACTATTGTATTCTTCAGGAAGGCTTTGTTATGTCACCCCATATGCCAAGAGACTGTCTTCCCCACCTCTTATTATACTAAAGCCATCGAGGGGTCCCCCACTCGCCAACTCGTAGCACACTTGCGCGCCCAACGCGCGTCCAGTTCGCACAAACTCGCGAAAAATTTCGACTGACTCGCGCTCAATTCGCTTCAATTCGTCAACTCGTTGCACACCTATTTTGGGAGTGGGGGACCCCTCGGAAGCCACTTAAATAATGATTTAAGTCCTATCGATATAGTTCTGATGGCCTCAGAAATATCAACTCTAACACACTGAAAATCTTTGAGTGAGGTGTCGTGTATCGTGCTTGAAATAAGTAAGACAATTTTGCCTCGCTCAACCAGAGCGATAAGACTCACTCTATTCGAGTCACATGCACAGAATTCTCACTCTGAAGGAGTACGATTTTCCTGACCTCACCCAATTGCAGTGGGGAACCTCACCCTCATTGGGTGAGGATCGCAAATTATGACTCAAATTGAGTGAGTCAGATACCTCGCTCTCAGGAGAGCGATATTTTTTGTGTCAGTGATCTCGCTCTCCTTAGAGCAAGATATCTGACTCAAGCATTTTCAGTGCAGCGTCGCGATAGGCCACGCCACCCCACGTCCAGCAGAGCACGACGGGCCTGCGTACCTCACAGGGGCTCATCCGGAGGGTAGGACTGTCTTAGGGCCAATTTGCTAAAACACGACGATCTATCGCCCCGCCGCACCACGTTCGGTGGCCTATAAGACTTTAGGCCGAAGGATTGACTCTGTGAACCAAGCTCTTATGGCGTCTGACCGACTGCCTGCTTGTCTGTCTGATCTCAAGTGTCACAGTAATTTCCTCTCGAATAATATCTGACGGGTCTGTCACCAAAATAAAGGCTTTGCACAACACAGAAAAAGAAACATCGTCTATGGAAGACCCTGCAGAGTGGAGTTCTGTGCCCTTAATGCAGGGGTCTTAAACTCGAGCTATCCGCCGGGCCGCGGTTGGGTAGGCCACCCGCAATACTCCCCCACCACTATCATTTTGAAACACCCACCACGACAGTTTCCCGCCACCGGGCTCGGACGAGCCGCGCGCTGTTGTAGGCAAGCGAAGGGCGACTGACCGCCAAAGTGCAAACTCTGCAGAATGCCGGCGCGGCTGGACGCGAGGCCTCAGCCGAGCGGACAGTCGCGACGCAGCCTCCAGCCAGAGCGCATCTAAGGATTAACTAATACTTCGGTAATGTAACCATTAAGGTATGCACCCACTTAGGCACCCTTAGCAATGTACAGCAGATCAGTATTTAGGGGTAGGGCAAGGGTATTTGGCATAAACCCAATAAATGATACTAAAGTAATAACTAACTCTATGGTGTAGCTAGTAACTCACCCTAAGACCCCAGAACCCCCAAAGAACCAATCATTTCATTACTAAAACAGCGCGGCTCCCGGCGAGTCCAGCTCGACCCGAACGCACCAGAGGCGCGGCTCGCCGAGAGCCGCGCGTGGCTCGGGGGTAGCTGCGAGTTTGACGAGTTTGAGACCCCTGCCTTAGTGGATGACAGCTGATAAAGTCAGCCCTTGCCCTTGGCTCGAAGCGGCGGTCGATGTAGAGTCAAGTCGATTTGCCGACCGCCGGACCGCGGCGAGCTAAGCGGCTGTCCAGTCCACACCAGTACGAGATGTGCCATGGGAAGCTCCGGGCGCACTCAGAAAAAAGTTTTCTTGAAGTAAGCGGTATCGTTTTAGGGTAAGAGGATTTTCCTCTTAAATACGGGACAAGAAGATTTCCCTTCATCGTAAGAGGAAAATCATTTTAACTCGAAAACTCTTAAGTTAAGGGGATTTTCCTCTCCCAAAAATGCATGGAAATTCTTATGAAAAGAAATAAAACCTCTTACGTCAAGAGGAATTTCCTCTTACGGAAATGCATTTGAAAACTTAAAAGATAGGGTCATTGTTCTTATATGTCCAAACGTACTTCCTCCAACCCTTTCCGTCTTCATGCTGACCTGACCCCGTTTTCACACTAGAACCACTGGGATTTGAACCCCGAACCTTCAGAGTGTGGAACGATGACACTAACCACTAGCCTACGGCGCTACCGTACGGTGAGGAGCGCTGCAACGCAAAGTGTTTCTAGAACTATGCTGTCAGCAGATCGATCCTCTAACAGGAAGATGCAGCACATAGAAGCAAAAGGAAATATCAAGAGGATTTACCTCTGCGAATAAGAGTACGGTTCCCTAATGCAAAAGTAACGTAAATTTTATTGTGAGAGTAATCTGGTTCCTCCAAGAAACCAAGGATTCTGACAGGAAGAACTAGCTGAGAGGATTTTCCTCTACTTTTAAGATTATGTATTACTAAATTAAAATGAAATGAAGTCCTAATTCAAGCATTTTCATCTTGTATTAAGAGGAAATGTTGCAAGAGGAAATATCCTCTTACGACAAGATTACTTTTTTCTGAGTGCGGCCCTGGGGGCGCGCACTCGAGGCGCACTGGCGGGCCTCCCTGCTGGGCATGCGGCTGGGGGTCATGCACGGCTGCAGCGGGTGGCCGCCGCGCACCTCGCGGCCCTGGACGTGGTACGCGAACGTCTTCACGCCAGTGACCAACATTGCCAGGGCCGTAATGGTATACGTGACGGTGGGTGTCTCCGTCTCCCTCAAAGACGTTCGGTTGTTTCAGCAGCATGTACACACTAAATCCTTATGCACTTTGTTGTGCATAAGACTTGCAGGATTTCATGCAGCCATAACATTATGCACAATTCTATGCATAATTATGTACAGTGTGTGCATAATTATGCACATTTTGTACACAATTACACTGGTAAAAGAAAGGTGCGAATCCCTACCTTTAAAATGCACTAACAAAGTTTAGTGCCTTTGGAAAGGCACCAAAAATGTGGCATTTTACACCTTTAGCTGGCTAGCTGCCTATGAGTACCATACAAGTTTAGTGCCTTTGGAAAGGTACGAAACTTTAGTGCCCCAGGAAAGGCACTAAACTGCGCCCTTGACTTCAGTGCCCCAGGAAAGGTGTTGTTTAGTGCCGTTGTTTTCCAGTGTATGCATAAAAATTTGTGCATGCTGCATGAAATCCTGTAAATTTATGCACAGCAAAATGCATGAGGGTTTAGTGTGGACAAAAGGAAACAGTGATAAGCCTCTTTTCTTTCTCTCTTTTAGACAGGAGGGGGAGGGGGCTGCTGGCTGAGCTTTATATGATTTTATTTAAAAACTCAACCAGTCGATATCAATTCGTTTTGAGTTTAACCGTGATGTTATTGAAACCATACAGTTCAATGATTTCTGGTCGAACCTCAGTAAGACCAGCCAATTGCAGACCATAATCCCAGCTAAAGTCTACGAGTTCGTCAGCAGCATGTATTTGTTAGACTACCTGAGCAAGAACGTCGGACTAACACTGATCCAGGTGAGAGGCCGAAAGTAAATCATGTTGTTTTAAGAAGGAGGCATTCTATTTATATACAGTCAAACGCCCTATATACGGACTAGCGCTCTAAATACGGACACTTTGCTGTGTTATACAGTACCGATCAAAATTAGCGGCGCACTTTTTTGAGCCGGCGTATTTTCTAAATCTTTTGAACTAGAAGGTCGAGATTTGGAGTGTAGACGTCTCCATGGTTCGTTTTGGACCCCACGAAGTGCGCATCCCTTGCGCCACACCATACCGGCCTCTGCAGCCCCAAGGGTGAACGGGGGAAGAAAATTCGACCTAAGAGGTTCCGAATTTGTCATTTTAAATGATCGGAAAGTCGACATGTTTGCTGAACCGACTCAAATTTGTGTTCTCTTTCGAACGGCACCAGTGAAATCGAATTCGTTCAAACGCACCCCCTGCCCCGTTCACCCCCACCCCTACGAAGGGGTGAGTTGAGGATGACCAAAACTACTGTTATATCCTCAGAGACACCCCCTGTATACACGGAACATGTTCTTTTTTTTTTGGAATCGGACAACCCCTCGGCTAAACCACCCCTAGAACCTGCAACCCCTTTCTGAATATCGGCCGTTTTGGACCCTAAGGGTTGAATTTTTGGCTTGAAACGCAAGGCAAGGCAAGGTTCCTTTCTTTATTTGAAAGACATCCATGCTGAGAAACCCGGTGTCAACATCTTCAACCCTTTCCCAGGGGGTAGCTACCCCCAACTGGCCCTGCACCCCTTTGGAAGGTGATGGAGGGTAGGGTCCATGCGGACCCGTTAAATAACACCCCAAAGAAGCTGCTCTCATAGTCTCGTGTCGGTCAGACCAACCGCTCCGCTTCCAGACTCGATAAACTGGCAAATCGTTTACAAACTACCCCCAAGTTCAACCTGCCCTGCCGCCGAACTGAGGTGGAGTAGGGACCCCATCCCAAGCGTTCCACATCAGCCCAACCTTCATCTCGAAGGCCGCAGATGAGTCTTGGGCCCCGGCGGTGAGTTTCGCGGTTCGCGGCCGTGAGACGGATTTGAAGACGCTAAAGAACGTGCGCTGAAGTTGGTGATATTGTTGGCAGCTCGGTCACTAACCGATTTTATTCGACGTAAAAATCTTTAATTTTAGGGCAAATTGATTGAGAATATCGCTTTTGTCTGTGTTTAGTGCACTTATACGGAACGGACACTCTTCCAGAGGGCCTAAGAGGTCCACCTTAGGTGATAAAAATTGTTTAAGGTGGTGGTAGGTGTGTCTTGGTCCTAAGATTTTGTAATTCCCA